GTAGGTAGACGTCTGACTTGATTTAGGGAAATACCAATCTCTCCTCATAGAAGTAGCTTGTAACATTGTCCAGGAGACATGAAATGTGTCTTTGTATGAGGCAGGGGTAAGGAGACTTGACTCATATATCAGTTTCCCTCACCTGCATTCTGGACACACTAACTGACCATGTCCTGTGTTTTGACCAACCTGAATGGCGCTTTCCCCACTTGGACCCACCCTGGAAAAGGGCAGATGTGCAGAACCTTCCTTAGGGCAACACTTTTGGGTGTTTCATCGGAACACTTATTTGTAGGAAGAGAGCACTCTGGGGAGAGAAAATCCCCAAGCCTTCAGGATGTTCATGTGGTTTTGCGGTGGCCTCCTTGCTTTCTGCACACTGTCCTATAAAAAGCCCTGCTCATTGTGGTTCTTAAGCTTAGGATTGATGGCAAAGTTGAGACAAAAGATGTCCATTTTCCTTGGCTATTTATGATCACAAAAAGGAGAGGAGAGAGAGGTTGATGAAAAGGCAAAACAGGACAAAAGGAAGCTGCTGAGAGAGAAAAAGAAATAGAAGAGAAATAGCCATTCTGAGCCCCTTCCCAGCCTGCACGTTCCAAATTTCCCAGCAAGGAGAAAAACATCTTTGCACCAGCAGCAACTTTTCATTGTGATACAGTTGCCATGGGGATAATGTGCAGGGTTGTGCCACTTTATCATCTCGCTCACATGGTCTATTATAAAGTGAATACTTGGGATTCTAGGCCATAAATATGCATCCATGAAATGTTCATCTGTAAACGAACCTGCCAACCAACTTCAGAACACCAGTCGGGCTCTCTGGCTGGCAGACCTGCTGTCCCCCTTTAGAAAGCAATGCAGGCAGGGAATGATGGGACAGACATAGGCATCTACAATTAGAGAGATCATGTCCTTTCCAAACATTGTGGACTTTGGGGCCAAAGCCAGAAAATGGAAAAAAAATGTAAATTGCCTTTGCAAGGAATGAAATTTACTAATGGTCTCCCATGCTTGAAGGTTACATGCAACATTTCCCTCTAATCCTTTGAAAATATTTTTTGAAGCCAGTCAGATTCTTTTTCAAGCTTGTGGGAGGGAAATAGCATAAGTAGATGAATCCCTAAATAATGGCCTGCTACATGTGTTTAAAAACAGAGCACAGCATGCCTCTGGGAAGCTCAGATCAAGTGCATGTGACATGCTTCAGAAGTCCCACCCCTCTGAAGCCACCAGCTGACATGTAGAAAACATCCTCAGGGCTTTTTGTGTGCTTCATTCACAGCTAAGCTGGAGTTCCCAGGAACCAAAATCACACAAAGGTCATTTAAAAATCAAACCAACTTGTTCACACTAACTATAACTGCCCTGATTGCAGTCCTGTCCCTTCAAGCCAATTCTGTATCAGGAAGCAGTTGTCAATGCAAACCCTATTATTGAATTGGACTTGACATAAAGTCTCTATTTTCTATCAACTTCAACAGAAAGATTACACTGAGGAGCAACTTAACAACATTTTACTATTTACCAGTGTCCTAGTTTAGCAGAATTGTTCTGCTGTGATTACTCTGTGTGTCAACATCCTCTTTCAAAGAGGGAGCTAGGTCTCAGTTGATTCTTCAGTAAAAAGCATCTGGACAGTATCACATGAAAACACATACTAATAATCTTTAGGAAAGATAATGTTTCTGCAACCTTGGGGTAGTTGAGAAGAGAGCAATAATAATGTACTGTTATTTGTACAGACATCTTTTTCATCATAGATTGTGCCATTGCTCAAAATATTTGTTCCTCCCCATGAGAGATTTACATATTTTTGCCTTCTTGCTATCAGACTTGGCCACTGAATTGCTTTGGCCAATCAAATGTGGGCAGAAGTGGGCCTCCCAGGTGGCGCAGCAGTAGAGCGCTGGGTTGCGAAGCTGCCCGCGGCCTCTGCGGCACTGGTTCAATCCCCAGCTGCTCCCCGGCCACCGGAGGAGGGTCCCACATGGCGCGCAGACCTCTCCTGCCGCCCGCTGCTCCCCTCAGCAGTGTACTTCGGTCCTTCTGCCTGCTCTGCTCCCTGCTCTGGCTCTGGTGAATTCTCTCACACTCCCCCGCTTCTGACTGTACCCAGTGCTTGTATAAACAAAACAAACAAACAAATAAATAAATAAAAACATGACTCTATTAAAAAAAAATCTTTAAAAAAAAATGTGGGCAGAAGTGATGAGTGCCAATGCCAGTTGAAGCTTCAGATTTCTGCCATGTTCTCTTTTCTCTCTCCCACAAAGCCAGTAATGCTGAATGAGTGGCTCTTCCTAGAGTCTGGGTTCCAGAAAGATGACAAAATAGAGCTGAGCTTTAATTCACCCATAAGGGCAGGTTGTAAGATACGAGGGTTATTTGTTACAACAGCTCAACTTAGCTTATACAGATGCATCCCTACTTCTCATGTGTCAGACACAGTACAAGGTGATGGGGATACAAAGATGAGAAAAGTGCCAATTATTACAATAAAGCAATTTCTGCAAGATAAATTCTACTTTTTCTTTTGAAAATACTTAGTAAGATCCTCTAACAGAAAAACTTTAAACTTTGTTGTACTGGGTTAATATAGCAATGCATTCTTTCTTACTTCCCCCATCAGAATATGGAGTGGGGGATTCTATTGCACTGGTTTTGCCTCCCACTTGATGGCCCATTCCACCTTGCTGGAGAGATGGGTTGCATGGTGAGACCCCAGCTTTCCAAGCTGTCTTGGCTGGAGAAACATTGGTGATCTAGTTATGTGAAACAAGGATATGTCAGTCCCAGCTGTGCCGTGTCCCCATTTCTGCCCCCACAGCATCATAACCTTGCAAAATTATTGTTTCTCAAGGCACATAGGGTTTGGGTTAGTTTGTTATGTAGTGATAGGTAACCAAGGGATATAATGATTGTCAGAGTCACTTCCTTGGTATGTTCTGAAACTCTTTCCTACTGAGTCACTTCTAATCACAGAAAATTCACTCGTTTTTAGGATTCCCTGACTTCAGATAGTATCTATAGTTTCCAAGCAAAAAGTGTGCAACACTATCATTTGTTTTGAACATATACAATAGCTATCAGTCTAAGACATCATACTTTGTGAGAAGTCACCACTTGACAGTGCATTTCTGCATTATATATCCCATTCTAAAATTGCCTTTGGTTTGAATTTAAGAATTAACAAGCAGTGGGAAAACTGAAAGGCAATAAAATGAAGTTTTGAAATGTCATAAAGGAAATTTCTGCTAAGAAACACACACAAAATTTTGTTTGGGACACTTCTATAAATTCAGGTAGTTTGATGACTGACATTCTTCCACCCAGAGGTTCTCAACTTAAGCATCCCTTGGAATCACCTGGAGGGCTTATTAAAACTGTTTAGTGGGCCCTAGCCCCAGATTTTCTAGTTCAGTAGATCTGGGCAGGGACTGATAATGTGTTTTTCTAAGAAGTTCCCAAGCGGTGCTGCTGTTCCTGAGACCACACTTGGAAAATCGCTGTGCAAACTTGTCCTGGCACCTGTGCTTTCACTTTGTCATCTGTGCCCATGACAGACATTACTAATTAATCATGGGACTCTTCCTTTCTCAGCTTTGGAAGCAGTACATGAGTCAGACAATATTGACTGATTTTAATTGAAAATTGAGAGAAAACCTATTTGCTATATACAATAACTCTAGAATCCAGGTAACTTCGCTAACAAAATATTAATGTTTGTCTTGCTCTTGTCTCATATTCACCTCTTCTTTCTTTGTCTTAATTGAGATGATAAAATGTATAGCTTCCATAAATTTTTTAATTAATTTCTTCTTATTAGATGAAAGCATGGAATCTATATCTGTCCTCCCCAACAGCATTGCATGAAAAATAGTTAGGCTGTATAAACTAAAAAATTAGCATTCTCTACCTCCTGTAATGATTGGACAAGTCAAAGAAATACCAAGAGACAGATATAAGGCTATTTTTTCCAAAGTCACACTGAATAGGAATGGAGACGTACTGGACATAATCAATCCCCCCTCCCCCCACCAAAAAAATGGAGTTTTATGTTCTTCATGTAAAATTGCAGTTTGGTGTTTATATTTCTATTACCTATAAAATATTTCCTACATGTAATAGCTTTTTTCATTGCAGCAATAATTCCAAAGCTTATTTAATTTTGCTGTGAACATCCTCTGGAAGCATAAATTTAAATTGAGTGATATGGTATCCAATGCTCAGTAATAAATAATTTTATACCAGGCTCAGGAATAAATAATTTTATGCTGTTCTTACAGTGAAGTAGAAAAAATGGACTGTCTAAATTGCCATGATAGATTCTCTTTTTTTTCCCTATAAAGAGCACGTTTTTGCCTTTGAAATATTTGAAGATGTGGGGGCTTAACTTCACTGATGTATCACTGAAGGTTTTGCAATATTCATAATTTTTCTCAGATGATAAATAATGAATTATATCTTCTAGCTTTTAAGAAAATCTTTTGAGCAGAAATGAAACATTGGAAGTGTTTATGCTTTTATTTTGAAATTCTTTAGAAGGAAATTCTATAATACCTAGTATGTGATAAATTATACAAAGCAGAAAAATTTTAATTTAATAAATACCAACATGAATATCTGCCAAATTTTGCCATGTTTTGATAATTTTCAGATCATTGTACTTTCAATTAATAATGTACAATGAGGAAGGTCAGTGATTTTCTTGACAAACCATCGCTTTTGTCATATTACAGGTTTATTCTACTTAAATATTTTTGTCAAATTTTCAAAGAACTGACAATATAAAGGCATGTTCAGAGTTTACTGATGTAGTAAATAAATTGAGCAGTTTTGAGTTATTAAAGGACTACGCTGTGCCAGACATTATCCATTAAAACTATTACAACTAGCCTATCCTGTTTGTAAAATTATTTCAATTAGCCTATAGCTTGCTATTACTATCTTCACATTACAGGTTGGAAATGATAGTTTAGAAAAACTAAGCGACTTACCTATCATAACAGGGTTAATTCAAAAGGTGGAAATACGATTTGAATCCAGAACTCTGCAATTACAAACAAACAAACAAAAAAAAGCCTATTTTAACAAATAAATTACATTCCAGGAAGTTGAGTGATATCTTGAGCCTTATTAAAGGGAAACTAAAATTTATTTAAAAGATCATTGCATTAAACTCTACTGCCTCTCACCAAATAACTTTACCCTACACCTTTAAATCAAAAGATAAACATGACCTCAGACATGTGATGATTTTAGCATGTGCCCTTAAAATTCCATGATAACTTCGGGACATTCTTCACTCGTATTAGTAGCATTATCATTTTTACTCTCATTTGCTTCAATTAACTTTTTCTTTAATTCTATTTTGTTTACTCTGACCACAAAGATAATACAGGATAGCTGCTAAAAGTAAAACAACAAAGGGATATTATTCCTGACAGTGAAAGTATCCTGAAATCGACTGTTAGAATGTTGGCATGTGTGTATCTCTCTATACACAAATATGGAGTTTGGCATAAATATATATATATATATATATATATATATTTAAGAACAAGTTTCATATATATGTGAATATATGTCACTTTCTTTTTGCCAAAATTCTTTCATCTAATTCACTAATTTACCACAATTCATACTCCATAGTAATCTCCTCTGTTCAATCCCTGTTCTAAATAGCCTCTCAATTCTTAATCCTATGGAAATCAGGGTGACACTTGAAGCCAGTCTCCCTTTTAGTCTTCTCAACACAAACTTCCTCTCTAATCTCACGTCAATAATAGTGGAGTCTGGCTATTCCTGTCCTTGTTCCACCATGATGCTTACAGCCCATTTCTACTGTGTGCCCTTGCACTTCAGTCCTTTAAAGTCTGATGTCCTCCTGTCATAACGTAACAACTTTGGCGAAAAGAGGTAAGGATAGAGTGGGCAGCAAAGAGGCTGCAGAGCAGTAGCTAGGGCCACTTGGATGACATGGCTGTCTAGTTGGACCCTTCTACTCAGTTAGGAAATTATAAGTAGCAGCTATTGATTTTGTTCCATGGTCTTTCTGTAGGTTGGAATGTAAACAAGAAAACCTGACAGGGCCTCCCTGGTGGCTCAGGGGTTAAAGACAGCTCTATCTAGCTGTCACCAGCCATTAAAGCATGAGTTTGATTCCCCGGCTGGCCAGGGAGGTGACCCACTAGGCACAGCAGACCTCTCCTGTCTCACCCACTGCTCCCCTCAGCAGTGTATTTCAGTAGATCTGCCTATTCTGCTCCCCATTCTCTTTGGTGAATCCTCTCATCCCCACCCCCCACACCTTTGGCTATACCCCAGTTCTTGTATTCATTAATAAATAAATCTTTAAAAGAAAACCTGACAGTGAAGGTGAGTTGACCTGGCTCCCAGGAGAAAGTCTAACCAACATGGAAATTTATGACTGAGATCATTGATAAAAGGAAAACTTGAAAGCACATAACATAAAATAATTGCTTTGTTAATTACTCAACTAATTACTCAACTAATGAGTGAAAAAGCCCTTGAATTTTGTAGATGAGGAAATATAAAGGGCAATAGAAGAATGAATAATAACCCCTAAAAATGAAGTGGCAAAATTAAAAGAGAATACCCCACACGTTCTTGTTCCCACTATCCTGACCATTTATCCATCATGTCACATCGAAAGCAGGCTGAGAAAGGAAAATAATTCTTCCTGTCAAACCACCTCCACTATTATACAGATTCAATATTCAACATGTGGCTATCTCTTCCTAGGGGGATCTTTAGGTTGACATTTATCATGACTGACTGAAGACTAGACAGATGAATATTTGCCAGGTCTCAGAAGATTCTAAGAGCAGACAGCAAAGTCTCCTCTTTGTTCGCATTTTAATCACAATGGAACTGACACTGTGAATGGCTCACTTGGTGCTCTGAGGCTAAAGATGCACCTAGGTAGTACTCTGAAAGCACTGACTTGCTCTGTGAAGGAAGGTACATCATAATTATTTGTGCTAGCTGGCCACTGCAAAACCTTAATACCTTGGGCCCATTTCTCTGCTTTAGATGTTTCAGTTTGGGGATTCCTCAAATATTTTCTGCTTACCATTTATTATGCATTAACTAAAACAATTTTTATTATTTCCTGGTAATAGAGAAGCTTCTTGATATCAAAAGACTCTAGTTCTTAATGCAGCATTTATGGACACTGACTATATAAATAGAATAAAAAGTCAGAGTTTGATGTTTGTGATGATTTAAATTCACTGTGTTGAGTAAATATGAGAACAGAGTGTGAAATCAAAACAAAATTAGTGCTTGTAGCATTTCGCTCTCTGGAGGAAACATGATAGTTATACAAAGAAATGAAGAATTCTCATATGACAGTAAAATCTACTATCATGATGATGAAGAAGGTGGGCGAGACTGGCATCTAACTGGGGAAGCTGATGAGTTTCTGATCTTAACATCTTATGGGTGTCCCTTCTGGATACTTGTCCTTAGAAGAGGGGCAGGAAAGTAGATAGGGTATGAGATAGGCTGAGAAGCCATAGATCTAGAAAAGGAACAGACTTTTAAAGAAGGTTACTGAATTATAGGTCACAGAAAAAAAATCCTTACTTTATTTTTGGTAAACATATTATTTTATTTTTTACTTTAGTTGGGCGTATTCCCAGGTCCTACAGTTCCCTATTACTCTCATTTTGGCTTATATCATTGCCTGGTCTTTGCAATAGCATATGAGGTTGGTACTTATGACTTCGAAGATGATAGAATGGGGCCTCTCTGGTGGTGCAGCAGGTTGAATGCTGCTCTTTGAAGCTGTCTGCAGCCTCTGCAGCATGGGTTCAATTCCCAGCCGGCCAGGGAGATTCCCACATGGCGCGGCAGACCTCTCCTGCCATGCCCACTGCTCCCTTCAGCAGTGTATTTTGGTTGTCTGCCTGTTCTGTTCAGCAGTGTATTTGGTTGTCCGCTCTGTCTCTGGTGAATTCTCTCACCCTCCCACGCCTCTGACTTGTACCCCAGTTCTTATATAAATAAATAAATCTTTTTTTTTTTTTAAGATGATAGAATGGACCCAGAAAAACTGAAAAACAGGTCATGAATGGTGGCAACTTCTGGGATTAAAATTCTGAGCAATATGTGCATTCTATCAATTTTAATCTTAACAAGTCTACCTACGAGGTGGATCTATGCAGATTTTGTGACAGCAGGAACAGAAATTCAGAAAGGTGAAGGTAGGCTGATCAAGTCAAGACCATACATCCCTCCATGGCAAAGTTGGAGCTTAGTACAGTCCTGTTTTGCCCCACAGTTCTCTTCACCACATGAGATGCGTTCTACATTATATGACAAGTTCATGAGAGGTACAGAGACCTTCCTAACGGCCCATTGCAGTCAGTGGGTGTCATTTCTTACCAATCAGCTAGTATTCTGGGAATTGACACAGAAAAATATTACCTTATTTTATGTCTCGAATAACAACAAAGGAAGATTCTTCAGTTTGACATGGAGTTTACACAAATTTATAAATAATTGTTTATCTGTGTGTATGTACATTTCCTGTTAACATCACTACATTTTTCTATTATTTTTAAATGGAAAAGATAATAACGGAAAAGAGAAAAGAATCTAGTCATATTAAATTTGCAAACAAAAGTACATGAACATAAATTTACTGACACCCAAGATTGACAATTAGCTGTCATTTACGGGCTTCCACCATCAGTTTTTTACCTAATATAACTTTTCAAGAGTCACTAGGCATTTTTCTCTTACCAAGGTAGTAGGGAAGGTTAAATTTGACACTAAAAATATAAGAAAAGAATGTATGTGATAGCATAAGGTGGAAACTCATGTTCCCTTTCAGCATTTTTTTTAGTTGATGATCTTCAGAACTGAATTTTTGAAGGTTAATAGCCAAGCAACATCAAACTATAGTGTTTTATCATACACCCCATCATTATTTTATGAAAGGTATCAGCATGATGCTTAACATTCATTTGGTTTTTAAGAAGTATGCAAGACAATTTCTGATAAAGTGATTTCTAAATTAAAAGGACAGTGCAGTTTAATATCATGTGGTCGATGAAATCACAATAGGGTTTTATCATTATTATTGTGTCTTTGTTTTTTGCAACTTGAATACAAATTTACACTTCTCCAAAATCTGAAATATACACCCAAGCCTATATTGGAATGCACATGGTATGATACCCCAGTCACTTCTCAACTAAGTCTACAAGTATATGGAATGCAAAAATAAAAGCTTCACAATTTTGCTTTCTGTCAAACATCACATCATTTGTATATGCCATTGTGTGACATGTATGCCGTTTATCAAAAAGCTTCAATTCAGCAAGCAATGAAATGTAAAACTCACTCTAATGCCAAGTGCCATCAAATGGGGATTACTTAGAAGAAAGGGGGGAAGTATCAGGCTTCAGGAGGTTTTTGAAGGTAATATTCCACATGAATTTTCTGCTTGCCCTGGTATTGACTGAAATCCCTGAAGTCTATCAATGAGCATAGTCATTCAAAGAAGGTGAATGGGAGAACTCAGTTTTCATGCTTCTCTGCATAATGGAAATCAGGAACACAGAGTCCACCAGTTCCTTCTGATTTATGGTTCTTCAGTTTACCATCATGCATAAATATTTCTCACCATCAATTCTGAATGAAAGCCAAGAAGCCAAACCCTCAGGGCATAATAACATATAGGCACTGCAACATCAACCTCTTCCTTTGGTCTCAAATCCCTTTGTTATTCAGATCATAATTTACCTTTCTTTTTTCTTAACAATTGCTCCAATTAAGAACACTATTATATGACAATGGGAGCTCACAGAAGCAAATTCAAGGATCACCAAATTATGAACTAGGAAAAACCTCAGGAATTAGGGACCCCTCTACCTTTTTGCTACGGAATGAGATATTGAGATTTGAAGTGGGTATGCTTTTATGAATCCATTCGTACCTTAACCCCAGCTATTGCCCACTTAAGCACTGTGATAACTTTTATGTGAAGCTGAGTCATGTATGCCCTGCTTTATCCCA